GCCTAGAATTCTGATTAATCTATTGACTATTCTATGATCTAGTCTATTGAATAGTATATTAACTTGTCTATGGACCAGTCTATAGACTAATCTATTGACTAAGCTTTGATTAGTCTTTTACCTATTCTATGGACTAGTCTAGAAACTAATATATTGACTAGCCTATATTCTAGGGACTATTCTATTGACTAGTGTATGGACTAGTCTATTCTCTAGCCAATGGACAAATTTATAGACTATTCTATGGACTGGTCTATTATTAGCCTTTTATGGATGTGTCTATGGACTAATTTATAGACTAGTCTATAGGATATGTTCTATGGACTGATCTATAGACCACTCTATGGAATAATCTATTGACTAGAATACTGACTAAATTAAGGATTAATCTATTGAATAGAATTCAGATTAGTCTATAGACTAAACTTCTGACTAGTCTATTGACTACTTAGTATATTGACTATTCTATGAACTACTATATTGACTAGTCTAAGGACTAGCATAAAGACTTATCTATTGACTAGACTTCTGATTAGTATATTGACTAAACTACTGACTGGTCTATTGTCTGGTCTAAAAGAACTAGTCTAGTCTGGAACTATTTTATTGAATAGTCCGTGTACTATTCTATTCACCATTCTATTAAATTGTCTGTGGACTAGTCTATTGACTAGACTACTAACTAATCTATGGACTAGTTAATTGACTAGACTAATCAATAGATTGCCGTGATTGATGGGTTTTACTGTATAACTTGTTTATGAATAGAATATATGCGTTAAACAAATATGCATATCATTTTAAAAAGCTCAATAAATATAAAAAATGTAACAACATTTATATTTTAAAGCTCTTATCTTTGTTATAATTAATTATAATATTTATATGTTTATGCTTTTTAAATGGGTCAATACTTTTTGCTTCAATTATTTTAATTTTTTAAAAGATAAAAGTTTTTCACAAAATTTATTTTTGCCAGCTTACACTCTTTAATTAGCAAATTTATTTATAAAAATAATAATTATTTATAAATATTGACAAACAATTAAATTTACATTTCTCATGTCACAAGTTTTAAAACAAAAGTCATCTGTTTGATTTAGTTTTTGTAATAAAAATAATAAAATGTTACTAATTTTTTAAATAAATATCTAAAAATAATAAAAATGAAATTTTTGATAGAAAAAAATTTTTATGATAAATTCATTTTCTTTTAACGTAATTTTTTCGAATAGTCATTCAATTGTATTGCATTACTTAGATAGATACATGTGTATGTATGCATATTCATATTATTTAGTAATTTCAAGAAAATATAAAAATATTGTCTTCTTTTTTCATTAAAGAATACACTTAAAGTAATAAATGGTTTAGCATTAGTTAGCAAACTGAAGTAATCATTTTAATTAATTTTTTATTCACATGCATTTTTAATAATTGCATAACATTATTTTTCATTGTTGAAGGAAAAAACTTAAAACATACTTACACCCTGCAAAACACGCATGTAAAGAATACTCCTCCTAGGTGAGGACCACGACATCCATCCATGGTCCATGCCTTCATAACATAGGACTACGGATCATGTACTCCAATAATGTTTTCAGGGAAGTACTTTTGGGATAACCTAAATGCCTTACGTCCTTCCTACTTAAAACCCTGGACCGATAACCTAAATGCCTTACGTCCTTCCTACTTAAAACCCTGGACCGGATAGTCGATACAGTTTTTAAATGCAGTATAACAGACAAAGACCTCAGCATGCTTATGTAAAGGAATATCGGTTTACTTTATAGGGTAATCTTTCGATATCAAATTATATATACCAGCGGTATACATTGACATCGAAGGCGCCTTCAATATCGTGCACACTGATACTCTTCCAATCTTAAAATCAGTTTCATATTGATTGAACACTCTGTAACTGGATTAACTACATGTTTTATGCCCTTTATTCTCGGTAATCACGTTTTATAGCCTTCTAAGAACCCTAACCGAGAATGGACTTAAACTTATCTGCTGGGCAGACAAAGTCGTAATACTTCTAAGGGGAAAGGATCCAAATCAATTGTCTAGAAGAGCTGAATAGACCCTAAACTCTGCTTTCAGCTGGGCTCAAAAAGGGAGTTGAATATTAACCCGGCGAAGACGAAAATCTGTCTTTTCACAAGAAAGACAAACATTTCTATGTATATTGAAAGCTGTTTCCTGAACAAGAAGATAATGATGACCGACAGAGTTAAGTTACCGGTGTTGGGCGCTATGTAGAAGAACCAAAGACACGAAATTGAGCCTTAGTCCTACTATTACACACTGTCTTTTTTGGACAAAAACGTAATATCAAACCACTACAGGGAGTTCAGCGTACATACTGCTTCGGTATAATAGTGCCATGTGCACTATGTCAATAACTTCTATTAAAACATACATATACTTATAAGATATAAGGTCTCACTTACAGCCCAACACATTTTAACAGTTCATCAATATGTACTGGACACATTAGAAGGCTATACACAATCATCGGACTTGACCGATCGCATACCAGACACAGAATATGTCGGGATCTATTAAACACTTATCCTTTATAGAATATCATTGGCAAACGTATCATTAGAGCAAATACCCGTATTAATCCGTTACTACAAGGATGGCTCTAAACTGACAGACAAAACGGGCCTGGGGTACTACATTAAAAGTCCATAAACAGAAATATACTATCGTACTATATCTAAACACAACACTAGCTTCCAGGCAGAAGTCCGTGTAATAACGGAATGCGTAAATTGGATTAGATATGGCGCCAACAAGAGTTAATATAGGACAATTAGAGCGATATCAGGGAATAAGATTAATTCTATGACCCTATTGGACTATAAGAAAACGTTGATCGTTACCTCGCCCAGAAGTAAGCTCAGCATTTTATGGGTATCAAGTCACTCGAGAATAATCAGCAAAGAGCGAATGTACTTGCTTTAAAGGGAAGGAAACTAAATGACAAAAAAAAAGTACCAAAAAGGGGAAATGCGGGAATTTTGATTTCAATCGAACTTACTGAACCAATTTTAATAAAAACAAGTAAGAATGTATAGTCGGGCATGGCCGACCATATGATATCCTACACCAGTGAGTATTAACATACCAATAATGTGGATTATTTTTCTAATAAAGCATTTTCCCTTAATTCCCTCTGAAAGACGGGTTATATGGGGGCAAAGGTAAATATGGTCCTATCGATATATATTTTGGTAGGGCAATTTACGATGACATTAAAGTTATTTATGCAGAATTTCAATGTGATAGTAGTGTTTAAAGGTGAAGTTCCACCTTCAAGTCATTTTTTGAACAGGACTTTGTATGGGGGCTAAGGTCAAATGAGGCTTTATCATTACGAAAAACTTATATAAAACTAAGATTTGCTGATTTTTGTAGAGATTGAATAATATTTAACATTATTGTAAGCTCAAAAGCCCTATTCGGGGGGTACGGTAGTATGGGGGCTAGGCGAAATAATGGACCGATTTCAATCATTTTCAATAGACTTCATCCTTGGGTATGTGCCAAATTTTGAAAATTGCGACCTGTAGCGTGCGCTAAAGGTGGACAAGACGGACAGACAGACAGACGGGCGAACATCGACTCAGAAAGTGATTTTGAGCCGACTGGTATGCTTTAAGGTGGGTGTAGGCCCAATATTTTTGGGTGTTACAAACATCAACACAAATGCATAATACCCTTCCCTCTATAGTGGTGTAGGGTATACAATATTAAAAAAAAAGTTAATTTACTCACACAAAATAAGCTATTTAATGTGTTATTTGGAATTCGGGTATAAATTCTATTCCTGGTCGAGAAAGTAATTTTCACAAGAGAAGAATTTCATCATTCTAATCGTATCTCTGGAATTTTAACAATATTTAACGTACACAGTCCTGATTGTACAAGAAAGAATCTTTGAGGGAATTTTTTGGTACTTTTTCGTACTTCAAATAGAACTTTTTAAATTACCCAGAAACATAAAATTAAACTTTAATGAAATTAAAATCAAACTTTATGGTCTTTTTTCGTTATCCAAGTAGTACTTTTTTAAATCTCAGTAATTTTTTTGGATTCCTTCCCTATTTTATACACATTTCTTCATTATTATCGTTTACCCAATTGTTTCTATATTTAACCAATTTTGCTTTGTCTGTCTACCTGTTTATCTGTTGCTATTTGTAACCCACAATCTTCATATATTTTATATTTATATATCTAACTGAATAAATAGTTGCCCGCCAGTCTGTCTGTTACCGCACATGTGCTAAATTTCTAATCAAACGGAATCTGTACAGACAATTTTGTTTCCAGCGATGATAGCGTTAGATTAATATATACAATATAACAAATTTGAGTAAAATTAAGGATGATAGTTTTAATTGAATGATTTCAGTTAATTTTTTTACAAAATTAAAATAAAAAAAAGGTTTTTTAATGGAATCAAGTTTTTCAATACCTTTTGTATTTGTAATCAAACATGATTTTGAATTGTTTATGGTAAATAGCTATTTAATGATATTTCAAATATTTCACTAATTTTGAAATCAACTTAAAAAAAAATAGTTATTTGAAAATCAACTGATCAAATTCAATAAGATAAATTTCTCTATTTAATAAAATTTACCTTTTCTGTATCAGTTATGGCCACCATTTTGTAAGATTTTCTTAATAAAAGACGTTTTCTTGTTAAAATTTAAAATTACTTTCTTAATTACCACATTTCTTCTTATACTTTCAAACACTTTCGTCTTAAAGTTTTCAAAAAATATTTCAAAATTTGCGTATGAATAGGAAAAACTAAGAAAACACTGCGTATTAGTTGAAAGTCAATGTTAGACTAAACATATCTTAAGGAAAAATGCTAAATAACGCAACTAAAATTGTTTATTTACTTAAATTCTCTACTATTTTCTACACATACAAATGAGCTACTAATTTACAAGTAACATTTCTACAAAGACGTAAAATCATTACAGAGTAAAGCGAAACAGGCCGACAGAACCCACAACCAAACCTCAACGAAATAACAAATCCACTTGTTGCTGGATGAGGGTAAATGAGAGTAAATGAGTTGGAAAGTCAACAGCACGAAAGGAGAACATGTTTCACTAGCAGTAGTTCAAATTACAAATACGATTATCGTCATTATCATCATAATCATGCTCATCAGTATTATTATCACTGTTTTATAATTTGGAATTTATTACTCGGTTTTATTTTATAAACAATTTTGCAAACAATTTTACCCATCAAGATGTCATATTTTGAAATGCAGTCAACTGGACGTATAAGTATTATTAATTATTATGATATGATATTAATCATACGTATGAGTGTTTGCAAAGGGAAATTTAATACTAATGAAATTTTGAATTTTTGTTTTTTTTGTTTAATTAGTATCATCACTTTGTCTTCTTGCTGTTTGCTCTTCATCTTCAGCCTTTACCCTGTGATGTTCATTGATAAGTTCACTTAATTTTGTTAAACCATTTAGGAAGGTGGTCGACTTTACTTTATCTAAAAATTCTATAACATATAACTGTATATGATCGGTAAGTAACTGCATGAAATGAAAAAAGTACGAAAAATACAGCAATTATTAAATTGTAAGCAGAGCTAAGAAATAATGATTTCTACATAGAACTACTAGTTCAGTTCTAGTTCAGTTCTAGTTCAGTTCTAGTTCAGTTCTAGTTCAGTTCTAGTTCAGTTCTAGTTCAGTTCTAGTTCAGTTCTAGTTCAGTTCTAGTTCAGTTCTAGTTCAGTTCTAGTTCAGTCCTAGTTCAGTTCTAGTTCAGTTCTAGTTCAGTTCTAGTTCAGTTCTAGTTCAGTTCTAGTTCAGTTCTAGTTCAGTTCTAGTTCAGTTCTAGTTCAGTTCTAGTTCAGTTCTAGTTCAGTTCTAGTTCAGTTCTAGTTCAGTTCTAGTTCAGTTCTAGTTCAGTTCTAGTTCAGTTCTAGTTCAGTTCTAGTTCAGTTCTAGTTCAGTTCTAGTTCAGTTCTAGTTCAGTTCTAGTTCAGTTCTAGTTCAGTTCTAGTTCAGTTCTAGTTCAGTTCTAGTTCAGTTCTAGTTCAGTTCTAGTTCAGCTCTAGTTCAGTTCTAGTTCAGTTCTAGTTCAGTTCTAGTTCAGTTCTAGTTCAGTTCTAGTTCAGTTCTAGTTCAGTTCTAGTTCAGTTCTAGTTCAGTTCTAGTTCAGTTCTAGTTCAGCTCTAGTTCAGTTCTAGTTCAGTTCTAGTTCAGTTCTAGTTCAGTTCTAGTTCAGTTCTAGTTCAGTTCTAGTTCAGTTCTAGTTCAGTTCTAGTTCAGTTCTAGTTCAGTTCTAGTTCAGTTCTAGTTCAGTTCTAGTTCAGTTCTAGTTCAGTTCTAGTTCAGTTCTAGTTCAGTTCTAGTTCAGTTCTAGTTCAGTTCTAGTTCAGTTCTAGTTCAGTTCTAGTTCAGTTCTAGTTCAGTTCTAGTTCAGTTCTAGTTCAGTTCTAGTTCAGTTCTAGTTCAGTTCTAGTTCAGTTCTAGTTCAGTTCTAGTTCAGTTCTAGTTCAGTTCTAGTTCAGTTCTAGTTCAGTTCTAGTTCAGTTCTAGTTCAGTTCTAGTTCAGTTCTAGTTCAGTTCTAGTTCAGTTCTAGTTCAGTTCTAGTTCAGTTCTAGTTCAGTTCTAGTTCAGTTCTAGTTCAGTTCTAGTTCAGTTCTAGTTCAGTTCTAGTTCAGTTCTAGTTCAGTTCTAGTTCAGTTCTAGTTCAGTTCTAGTTCAGTTCTAGTTCAGTTCTAGTTCAGTTCTAGTTCAGTTCTAGTTCAGTTCAGTTCTAGTTCAGTTCTAGTTCAGTTCTAGTTCAGTTCTAGTTCAGTTCTAGTTCAGTTCTAGTTCAGTTCTAGTTCAGTTCTAGTTCAGTTCTAGTTCAGTTCTAGTTCAGTTCTAGTTCAGTTCTAGTTCAGTTCTAGTTCAGTTCTAGTTCAGTTCTAGTTCAGTTCTAGTTCAGTTCTAGTTCAGTTCTAGTTCAGTTCTAGTTCAGTTCTAGTTCAGTTCTAGATTCAGTTCTAGTTCAGTTCTAGTTCAGTTCTAGTTCAGTTCTAGTTCAGTTCTAGTTCAGTTCTAGTTCAGTTCTAGTTAGTTCTAGTTCAGTTCTAGTTCAGTTCTAGAGTTCCATCTTAAGTATAGTTTAGAGACCGCATAGCTAAAAATAGACTAAAATATAACTATGAATCTCACCTTAACATCATCGTATGTAACTTCATACAACTGATGTCTTTGACCCACATCACTCAATAACATGTTAATAAAGGCCACATCATTAAGACCACTTTCAATAAGACTACCATAGATATTCATTAACTGTGCAGGATGTTGATGCAAATTACTTAAATTGAATTTTCCAATCTCAACATTACGAAATCTTTCCAACAGAAAATAATTTTCACTGAAAAAGCTTAAAAAACAAATCAGTTCCAAGATATGATATACTTCAGTATTTGCCAACTAAATTTGAAATTGCCTTTAACAGTTTATAAAACTTACTCCGTAAAGATTTTCGCAGAATGATAGTTTAAACGGCGCTTAATTAAACACCAGCCATTCTGTAAAGCCACTATTTCAGTGGGTGTGAAACCAGTTTCTAAAGGGAAATTCTGTTTAATGAGTTGAGGCAAAGGTTTAGGATATATAATTTTAGAGGCCATTAAGTAAAAATTTTACGTAAATTTGTTTTCGTTAATATAAATTTATTTGAATAAAAAACGCGCCATCTGTTGTTTGGTAGGGTAAGTTATATATTTGACCTAAGCAAAAGCTAATTGTTATGAAAATCTCTTAACCCTTCAATGTACTTGAACATAAAGAAATGTTTAAATTAATCGGAAAGCTAAAAAAGTAATTCACAAAATTGATCTGCCCTAAAAATAAACGCAACAATTTTTACAACATAGTTAAATTTATTCAATTAACAGACAAAAATAAGGTTTCAAAACAAGTAAAAAAAACGATTGAATTTAAAAATTATAAAACTATTACTAAATAAAGAAATAAGTTATGAAATGATTAAGGAATATTAAAGAAAATAATAAATAATTCATGTTTTAACTATAAGCTAAACTATGGGTTAACAATGTCACTGAGTATTCATGCTACATAAAAACAAACTTAAAGATAAATACGGAATATTTGGCTTTTGGAAATTTTCGTATTACACATGGGACACTTATGAGTCAAACGTATGGCGTGTTCAATACACTCTTTACAGAAGACATGACCACAACGAGTTGAGGTAGGTTGGCGTTGTAAACATGATTCCATGCAAACGGGACACATAAATGGTGTATGAACAGAAGCTGTTGTCGCTGCTGAAGATGGTGGCGAAGTGGCAACATTGCCTGACCCTGATGAGGGTTTTTTGTATTCTGGTGGTGTAAAATATTCAGTGCGACGTTTTCTTGCTGTCGAGGGACCTTGGCAACATGAGTCTGCAACATCTTCATCTTGGTGCGTCAAGCGTCGTCTATTTAATTGTCTTTGATTTATTACTGGCCTAGGATTGTGATGTTCCTGATGTCCCCCTGGTGTACATAAATCCACTACAGGATGAATATTCGCAGATACCAAAATAACATCATCGTCGTCGTCATCATCAATATGGCGGTTATTATTACTATTAACGCTGATAGTGTGTCTGTTTATCTCTGGTGTTTGTGTTTGTGACTCTGATAAATCTATAACATGAGCAGCTATTGATCCTGTGGGTGACGATCTTCGACGTCTGGGACGACTTCTTTGCGTATTATTATTGCGTACTATTGTGGCAATCGGTGGACTATTGAGTGTTAGAGCCGTCATTGATGAAGTAGATGAACTGGGAGTACTTGTTAAATCTTTTAATAAAAGGGGAATTTTTATTGAACAAAAGAAAATAATAAAATGAGTTTTATAGAAATACATACATACACAGAAAAAATTAATTTTAAAAAATTTTCAATTAAACGATTAATCAAAAATTTTAAAAGGGTTCAATTCATTTTGTATTTGATTCATAAAAATGTATAATCAAATACGTATTTAACAACAACAAAAATAGAAAAAAATAAAAATTTTGTGTACGAAATCAATTATAAGTAGTAATTGAATATACAATTTTTGTTATAGGTTGAACTTCAAAAAATAAAATAATTGAAAACGAGGTTTTGGTAATTGAAATCGTTTTTCAGTTTTTTCTGTGTACTATAGACTAGACTATTGACTAGACTATATGATAGACTAGACTATAAACTGGACTAGACTAGACTATAGACTATACATTAGACTATAGATTAAACCATAGATTTGACTATAGACTAGACTATACTATTATAGATTAGTCAATATAACAGGCAAGAATAGATAGCCCAATATAAAAGATTATAGTCAATACAATAGACAATACAAGACTATAGCCTATACTATTGATCAGACTATGGACAAGACTATAGGTGGAACTATTGACTAAAGTCAAGTCTATAGTAAAGTTTATAGTATTGACCACACAAAGTCTTGAATAAATTCTTAGTCAAGAATACATACTAGACTATAGACGAAATAAAGAAAATAACTACATAAGAATTAAAGAACTTACTTGAATTTAAAATATTTTCCGAAGTGCTATTGTCACACGAATTGTTCATAAAAAGACCAATTGAACGTAGATTCTGATCAACATTATCACAAATTCTATTGACTGTAGGAAAAATGCATGAAATAAAATATTATAAAAGACAATACATTCCTAAACACAAATACTGACTTCTTTCAATCTCTGCATCCATGTTGCGACGTGTGGTCGGCGAGACTACTGCAGAAGCATTTTCAATTATTGAAATAGAAGTTGCCCCAGCTGGAGAAGTATTATCGGATGAAACTGATGAATCGTCGTTAAGTGATCTACGTGTGCGAAATGTTGCAGAATTGCCCAAAGAAGTACGTTGAGGAGGACTAATGCTCAGGTCACGATAAACACCTTCAATGAAGGAATCAACATTAGCTAACATATCATCCACGGATTCATTATTTAACTAAATGAAAAGTGACAAAAACAAAGAACATTAATTCACAAAATTTGTGAAATTAGAAGAATGTGTCCATCATACTGAATCTTTAGGCGATTGAGCTGCATAATCTGTCTTATTCTTATTTTCCTTTTCCATATTGTGCTGCCTTTTACGCGATGTCATATTTTCGGGTTTTTTAATTATTTATTTTACAGTTATAGATTTATAAAAGAATGACAAAAAATGCCTACCTACGCGCTAAACAAACGAAAAAATTTAATAAACAACAAATTTTTAAGCAAAATGTCTGAATTAGTGATAACAGCAGTGTTGCCACTTTGGTTATTATTAACCAAAAGTGGTTATTTTTATTTTGCATGTGTACATGTGAATTATTTTTTCGTTTTGGTTATTTTTTTTGCAAACAATTGAACTAAATGCTGTTTGCTTTTATTCTAAAAATAAAATTAAAAAAACCTTCTTTTATCTCTAGTTTTAAATCAACTATGTAAATACACATATTGTCCCTGTTTTAAATTTTGGTAATATGTGGAATTTTTTTTACTATTTGAAACTTTTTTATTACTGCAATTTGTACATCTACTGGTTATACTTACGTGCACAAAGGTATTTTTCGATATCTTAATTGGTTTAGGATTTAGCAAAAGTACCTATGCATTTTCCACATATTAAATGAGTTGATTTAAATCATAACAACACCGTAATATTATTTTATTTACACTAGCCAATCTAACACCGTGAATAATGGATCCTCTCTCTCCTTTTGGTGCATCCATGAACTTAAAATCGCTTTTTGGGTCGATTCAAACTCGTCCGTCCTTCCGTTAATATTTCTATTGGAACTTTTTATGTAAGGAACTTGCGGTACTTATAAGAAAAAACGAAATAGGCTGTACTTCGCATTTCGATTTTTATGGAATTTGGTGGGAATAGTCTACCTACTTAGTAGATTATGTCCTCCAAATTTAATTTAAAGTATAATTGCAACTTCTATACCTATTTGAAATTTTGCATAAACAGATACTGTGCTAATTTGCCGAAATTCTAAGATAAATGATTTAATCAGAATTAATAAAGTATTTTCTGCTAATTGATGCAAGAATAGTATCACAATATCTTTAAAGTATTAATCAACTGATCTTTTAAGCAACACAGCTAAGGAAAATTAAATTGTATTGGCTACAACAGTTGTAATAACATCTAATCTCGTACGACGAACAATAATCGCGATATATGCAAAGATTTGATACTCATGACCTTTGACTTCTACTAAATATCTCACCATGATTTTTAGTTCTTTACCCCATGTCTATATTAGACAAATATTTATCACGGCACTTGACAAAACGTCGGCAGAAAAATTGTCAGTTTTTTGTTTATGTTAATACATAGGGGTAACAAAACGCTGATTTTATCACGACAACTCAAAGATAATTTTATTGAAATAAAGCTATATTTTATAAAAACAATTAAAATTAAATGCAAATTTTGTAAATAAACACTAATTTCACTAAAACTAATGTTAAAAATAAATTTTAATTGCACAAAAACTAAATTCTAAACAAATTTTACAATAAAATGACGTTTGTTATCAAGACAACGTTGTCTAAACAATTGTTTAGACAACACTGTCATAACGGCGTTATAACGCTAATAAATGCCGTCTGTACCTGCTAATTTTTTATTATGATAACAATTTGACGTTTAGCATAATAAATATTTGTCTAATATAGACACGGGGTTATTTACATTTTCTAGATGATGTTGTATGCTTGTTTTTATGTTGCCGTCTTAAATTCTAAATTTTGGTCAATTTGTCGGATAATTTGGATAGATTACGTTTACAAATATTGCTGAAGTTATGAATGTAAAACTGAAATATTTTGCCAAAATATTTTTAGTTGACCCAGTTTGCTTGCGAAATATCGGTCAAAAATTTCACCTAGCCCCCATATTATGCCCTATTCAGAAAATTACTATATTGCTTAAAAAAGCATGTATAGCGATGAAATTCAATATGAAAAAGTTTTTTTTGGAAATGTATTTGTCAAGGCTTATGAAGATCGGTATATAATTGACTCTATCCCTCATAAAAAGTCTCCTCAGAAAATGACTTTAAAGCTCATAATGTACTGCAATATAGCAACAAAATTCAACATAATCAAGTTTTAAAGGAACTAAAATATCACTGTTAGATTTTATGAGTATTGGTCCATAATTGACCATAAGTCTCATATAAGATCCCCTAGAGAAAATTACTTTAACGCTCATAACTGTCTTCATAATACCAGTTTAGCGACGAAATTTAACATAGTTACAAGTTCCACTTCAGAAAATGAATTTGTTATTTTAATGTCCAAATGTAAACATGAAACAAATAAAAATAATTTTGTTTACTTTTTTCTTAATTTGGTTATTTTTTATTCGAATTTTGGTTAGAAAAAAATTTTTGTTGTGGCAACACTGGATAACAGATAGATGAAGGCGTTACTACACCGCACGCGATTACTGTAACAAGTTATCGGAAAAATGTTGCAAAAGCAACAGGATGCTTACAATTTAAATTTTGTTGAATTAGAATCAGGGATGGCAAAATTGGTACGATGGTACTTTTTTTGATACTATTTGATGTTCAAAAGTACCGTTGTACTCCCGAGTCTTATTTGATACTCTCAGGGCCAGACAGATAGATAAAGAATTTTTATATGAGAACCTTTAATATATCGTTTCGATAAAAAAATAACAGGTTAAAGTAGGTACATTTAAAATGTCAAATTTTAAATTCCAAGAGTGTTTTAGCACATTGTTATATAAAATTCTCAAAAATGCATCAACTAAAAGCCGTTTTTTTCTAAAAAAATAATAATAAAATTATAAACGGCTAATAAAGTTGTACATATTTTTATCTTGATTGACATTATATGAATATTAATCTTATTAAAATTTCATTGTTAATATTTTATGAGAAAATTACCAGAAATTTAAATTTTGAAATAATATTTGACTTTAAAACAAATGATTTCCAAATGATAGGAACTCGAAGGATTCAATCTACTATAAAACCATATGCTTTGAAACTAAGCAATTATCCAAAGATAATATAAGAAGTTTTAGGTCAAAAATATTTGGACTTTTAAGCAAATTATTGTTTCATGTCATATTCAGAATCGGATGTACGAGTAAATATCCTATTTAAGGTCCCACGACGGTTCAATAAGACATATTTAAGCGATTTATTGACAATGAACAGTCGATACTAATACTTGTAGCTCAATTATTAGCATTTAGTTGAAATTCTAAATTCGTCCTTTTATAGGGCGAAATGTGGCCTGATTTTAATTAATGCCGGATTTATTAAAATATAATAAATTATATCATGACAGCTTTAAATTTAAGATATTTACATAGTACAATATCTGGCTAATATTTGAGATGTAAAAGGTGAACATTGAGGGACGGACAAGGATTCGTCATATTAACATATAATGCCTTTCTACTTCTGTTATGGATTGTTTAAAAAAAAATTAAATGTAAATGTAGTTAAGAATTGCCATCATTTAGCAAAAAAATATTTTAGTACTTTGAGATCGAAAAAAGTACCCTCTGAAATATTTTTTGATACTGACACAAAATCTCATTTTCCATCCCTGATTAGAATGTATCAAACGATTCGAACTTTTGGAATTGGAATAAAAATTCAACTTTTTCAATTTAGCAAAAGTTAATTATTCGATTTCTTGCAATTTCAAAATTGTTGACATTTGGAATTTATCTTATATCGTCTTTTCCGATTTATCGATTTATTTCTTTACCTACAATACAGCGATTGTTTTGAAACAAAATAGTCGAATTCAACTTTTCTCGACAAAAAGTCACTTTTTCGAAAGTCTATTTGTAGAACCCTAAAATAGCATTTCGAAAAATATACTTTTTGCCAAAAAAGGTCGAAAAGTTGAATTCGAATATTTTGTCAAGCAAACACTACAAATAATTGAAATAGTGAAATATCTTTCGCTCTATCTTTTGTAGACTTTATGGCGTTTTTCGACTTCTTTTTCAAAGTTTATGTTAAAAGTGTATTTCCATGTTATATTTCTACAATAAAAATAAAAGTATGTTTCTTTAAGTCTTAGATATTAGACTGATTTTGTTATTTAGTACGTTTGTAACAATAACTATATCTGACTCTAGAAAAAATTCAGATTTTATTTATTTTTAACAGTAACTTTTTTCGACTTATCGACTTTTATTAACATGTCATATTTTTGTTATTTTCAATTTTTCGGAAGTCGATTTATAGAACCCAATAACAGAGTGTATATTTATATATGCAAAAAGTCGATTGTTCGAAAGACATAAAAAATAAATAAAATTCTTTTAAAAAAGTTTCAGTTAATTTTGATTTCAAAAATTCGATTTAGCAGTTATGATTTAGTTTTATTATTTTCTAAAAAATAATTAATAAAGATAAAAAATTAAGAATTTATTAAACTTTTTAACTGAAGTTTTATGAAATTCGTTATTATGAACCTTTTTTGTAAACAAAATAAAATTTTAAAAATTCTGGCGCTTAAAGTTATTAGTAAACCTCTACATTTTCAATTCAATTCAAGTAACACCTAATAAATCGCTAAAATTCCTTTTAAAAACTAAGTTAGCTTTTTCCCGCTAGATTCGTTGCAAAATCGTTCCATTTAATAATGAAATAGCTAAATTAACATCATTGTTCAAGTGGTGAACTTGGTTCGTTGAGTGTCACAAAAAAACCTAAAAAAATATTTAAAAAATAATTAAATACATGTTTATTTAAACAAAAAATTTCGTTTTTATTCAAATTATTATATTACCCTAAACAAACTAGCGTTTTTTAAAGAATTATCAAACAAAATCAAGTAAGTTTCTGTCTACTCCATATTTAAAGACTGCAAAAAAAACCTAAACAGCAACAATGTAAAAACAAAAACAATTTGCAAGGGCGAATGCCAAATAAATGCACTTGATTGCTTCAGGGCCGACATATTGATGTGTGTTGTTATGGTTGTCAATGTTGTTGTTGTTATTTTTATTTTGTGCACTCTAATTGGAATTTATTGAGGGATTTCTTTAATTATAGCATGTAAAATTTGTTTTAAAATTAATAATTTATTTTAAAACTTGTATTCCATATTGTTATTGTAAGTTATATGCAATTTTCTTTTTTTACAGTTTTTTGCGCTTTTTTTATAAAAGCGCGTGGGGCGTTCTTTGAAAGACTTGTAAAAAAGTCGGGCGTTATCCCGCTTTTTTTATTTTAAAACGGTAAATTTTATAATTTTTATTTAAATGAATTGTATGATTTTGTTTTTAATATCTTTTCTGATTTTGTTGCAGATTTTATCGGTTTTAAATGTAAGTACAAATTCTATTAAATTGTTTAATGTTTTTAAATATGTTCTTAGAAAAGATTTGCTGTGATTATGGCATTAATCATTTACTTATAGTTTCGACTACACTGCAGACAGGATTACAGGTCATCTATGGGCAGTACTATAGTTAACTAAAGAGTAATTTATGTCTGATTATAGAAAGGACTATAAAAGACTATTGACAATTTAAGAGTCCCGTCTATTGACATAATGTTCCTCCAACTATTTAAAAGACATGACTTTATTATTGTCAAGTTCATGGACTGGATAATAGTATCTTCTATATACCTATAAAAAATAGATTATAGCATCATAGTTGTAGATATAGTAATAAATATGGTGTGGTCTAGACCATAGACTCGACATTAGTCAGAACTAAAGTCTAGACTAATGTCTCGACTATAGACAAGACGAACGACTGGACCAACGGCAGGACCATAGATTTGACAATAAAAAAGTGTTAATAGAAAGGTATATAGTATCGACTGTAGACAGAATTATATTGTGCAATCTGTATAGTATATAGGCAGATCTATAGTCTAGTGTAAAAAGAGATAAGATAATCTCGATTAAAGTCTCAAATATAGATTATAGTGGCTATCTAAGTTAAAAAGCTGGCGGAAGGCAGGCAAAATGCTCCACCATCCTTTGTTATCAGTGTGATATTTTTTATCATAAAATAGAGATATTAGTAATACAAGTCGCAAGCCAATAACCTTTGGTTATCATACCAAGTAGAACATCTTAATGTTGGTCCATATAGTTTATAGTGGATTTAGTCATTTTAAGCTTAAAAGAGGAACTCAAATTCGTAAATTTCCCCTACTTTCTCTCAACCCATATCTGTAAACCTTTTAAATACGTCAACCAGTTTCAAAGCTCGATCTATTCGGAATGTGTAATAGCATAAAAGGACATAAACATAGGTGATGTAATACAATTTACCCATCTTGATGAATATTGTCCCTATTATAGTATGTGTCTTTAAATTCTAAGTGCTTTATTATGAACTTAATCAGTCTCAAATTCAGAGAGGAAGATAATACATGAAAACATGTTCTCTGCCATTGTCCTGGTTTTGATCAACTAAAACAATACGTGGATATTTAGACCAATGAATTGGCTTGAACGTAATGTTGACCAATTGGATTATAAATTATTAGTATAATCACAAAACTGTAATGGGCGCTAGTGAGCTCTGTTTAAGACTATATACTAGATTATAGTTTCGTCTATAGAGAGGATTGTATTCAATACTATAGACTCGAATATACACAGAACAGGACTTTAGTGTTTACTATAGACAGGAATTAGACATCTCTATGAACCCGACTAAGGACAGGACTATAATCTCGACTATAAGCAAGTGAGCTCTGTTTAAGACTATATATTAGATTATAGTTTCGTCTATAGAGAGGATTGTATTCAATACTATAGACTCGAATATACATAGAACAGGACTTTAGTGTTTACTATAGACAGGAATTAGACATCTCTATGATCCCGACTAAGGACAGGACTATAATCTCGACTATAAGCAAGACAATATATAGACGGACTATAGTCAAGACTAAGGATACGACTGTAGGCAGAATTGTAGCCACTAGAGTAGACTAGAATATATCGTCACCTAAAACGCAAACGGCACTATCTAACATTTTGAAAATTTTACAGGAGAAGCAAAAAGCTATTGAAAAGTTTGTTTCTATCAACGCGATTTATTTGTAGTAAATAAACAAATTGTTTAAAAGTGAAACCTATCAGTTGTTATGATAGTTGACAATGGCGTATATAGAAATGGATAAATTGGACTTTTTACCTTTAATACAACAGACAACTGAAATTACATATATAGTTAAAAATTATTCCCTACTCTTCTTCTTCTTCTTTGCTCTGGTTAGCAAAATCAGTTAGATCTGAACCCAGTAGACGAGCCGCATCAGGTTCCAACTGAGTTGGATTTGCCCTGCATTTGAAAAGGTGTTGAACATTCTGTGGTCCTGTGCCACACGCAGGGCAGAGATCTTGAGAGAGATCGCTTATTCTCGACCAGTATGATTTTAAACGAGTACACCATCCCGAACTATGTTGTGCCAATACCAATCTAGTACGACGTGGTAGGTTTCGTTCCTCGTTTGCAACGGGTGGGGGATGTTTTTGTAGATAGGGCCTTTTGTTTATTGTCAATAAAATTGCTAATTTTGGTCGTAGGAGTCCAATATTTTGTGTGGACATTTGTTTTGATGCAATACATTATAATAAACAATAAAATAGATTTTGAATTTTTGGATCGTTAGGGCCGTTCGCGTTTCAGGTGACGATGTATAATTCAGGACTATAAAGACCCATACCGACTATATATATAGGCCTAAAGTCCATTCTATAGCCGGTAATAAAATCTACTCTATAGTCGAAACTAAAATAGAAAAATTTGCAATACTAGCATGAAACTAATTATATTTAACTAGAATATGCTAAACTTATATTTAAAACAAAAATGATAATATAATTATAATTTTCATAATTGTCTTATTTCTATTATTCTATTTTAAAGGGAAACCAATAATTTACTATGATTTCAAAAATTACTTCCTTATATTAAAAAAAAAAACTTATAATAAAATCACTATTTTTTAACATTCTCATATTTTAAACGAAATTATAAAACAAAAGCACAAATAACCTTGAACTTCGAAACAAAAATAAAAAAAGCATATACTGCTGTACTACGTACGTGTACTTGCTTCTTAGTACGTCTTACATACTTTACGTTTAGCTGGTAAAATATACAAATAAAAGTAACAAATTTTACTGAAATACCTTATGGGTTTGTTATTTAAACCAAATATTTTTACTCACTCGCTATTTAAAAACTCTGTAATTTGAGTTGACGTATTTGGCTCTCAGCGTATTCCAAAAATTACTGATTAAAAGGTTAATGATTTTTTTTCATCAGACAATCAGCAACATTTATAATATAAATAAATTCTCCAAAGTGTTACTGTTTGGTATTTTTTTTTAAAGCAGGTGAATGACCACATTTTATTTATTTTTTTTTTTCGAAATTTAAATAAACAAATAAAATTGTTTATGGTTATTTTGTATTTTGTTTACAGTGAAATATGTACAAGTTGTTTTATTAGTCTTGTATGAATATAGTATACAATGTATGAGTTTATATTTAAAAATATAAATAAAGTACATATACTTGATGATAAATCATTTAAACATGACCTTTGCCAAACAATCAGGCAAATGTCAATGACTATTATATGTACTTTTTTTGCTGTTTTTAAGTAGATCATCATGTTAAAGGAAATTATTGCACAAAACTGCTCTCATTAATTATATTGCAATTAATGAGTGATTCTCTTGAGAGGAATACGGTAGTTAAAATTTTAATATTAAAAATATTTGATTGTTCAGAATTGAAAAAAATAATTTTTTAAATATAATTTACAATGTTATGTTAGGTTGTAGATAATGCAGAAATGAATCAATATATAATGCGAAAGAGCAAATGTATGTATCTAACGAATGACAATTCTCGTTAATTCTAATGCAACAGATAGCCTCTAGCAGTTCTCCAAGTCAATGAAGGCGGTTTCCACATTCTTATATGTTAAAATCTCAAGAAAAATAAAATCCTCTATCACCAAACCTATTAATAATTCCAACCGCAATAGCGCAATAGTTACACCAAGTCCAATGTAAAACATGTTTTAAATGATAATTCATATAGTTTATAACGAATTAGTGGTTTAGAACTTAAAGGAGTACTCAAAAAAAGGAACCCGTTTTTGTTAGTTTATCTTCAATATTATCAGGATTACCATAATATCCAGAGAAGCATTAGTTTCAGATTACTTTGTTAAAAGACATTATACATCATCATGGAAAATTCAGTATTTTAGTACTTTTTCAGTATTTTTTGATATCTAGTTTATAATCTAGCCTATAGTCTAATCTATAGTCTAGTCTATAGTCTATTCTATAGTCTATTTTATAGTCTGTTGTATAGCCTAGTCTATAGTCTATTGTATAGCCTAGTCTATAGTCTAGTCTATAGTATAATCTATAGTCTTATCTATAGTCTAGTCTATAGTATAATTTATAGTCTAGTTTATAGTCTAGTCTATAGTCTAGTCTATAGTCTAGTCTATAGTCTAGTCTATAGTCTAGTCTATAGTCTAGTCTATACTCTAGTCTATAGTATAGTCTATAGTCTAGTCTATAGAATATCTATAGTCTAGTCTATAGTCTAATCTATAGTCTAGTCTATAGCCTAGTCTATAGTCTAGTCTGTCTATAGTCTGGTCCATAGTCTAGCCTATAGTCTAGCCTATAGTCTAGTCTATATTCTAGTCTATAGTCTAGTCTATAGTCTAGTCTATATTCTAGTCTATAGTCTAGTCTATAGTCTAGTCTATAGTCTAGTCTATAGTCTAGTCTATAGTCTAGTCTAGTCTATAGTCTAGTCTATAGTCTAGTCTATAGTGTAGTCTATAGTGTAGTCTATAGTCTAGTCTATAGTCTAGTCTATAGTCTAGTCTATAGTCTAGTCTATAGTCTAGTCTATAGTCTATAGTCTAGTCTATAGTCTAGTCTATAGTCTAGTCTATAGTCTAGTCTATAGTCTAGTCTATAGTCTAGTCTATAGTCTAGTCTATAGTCTAGTCTATAGTCTAGTCTATAGTCTAGTCTATAGTCTAGTCTATAGTCTAGTCTATAGTCTAGTCTATAGTCTAGTCTATAGTCTAGTCTAGTCTATAGTCTAGTCTATAGTCTAGTCTATAGTAGTATAGAGTCTAGTCTATAGTCTAGTCTATAGTCTAGTCTAGTCTATAGTCTAGTCTAGTCTATAGTATCTAGTCTAGTCTATAGTCTAGTCTGTAGTCTAGTCTATAGTCTAGTCTAGTTTATAGTCTAGTCTATAGTCTAGTCTATAGTCTAGCTTATAGTCTAGTCTAGTCTAGTCTATAGACTAGA